GATTTGGGGTGACGGTAACCTCATGGTTAGGAATCAGTTCTGGTAAACCAAAACTTGCAGGTTCAATCTCATGTAGAACTCACAGCAATCATCAAGACCTGCTTTACTGTTATGTCATAAAGCAGGCTGTTTAATTCCAGTGGCGCAGACCCTGTAAATTATGCTCTATAAACGACCTTGAACGAAAAATAAGTTGCATAAATTCCATTTACTGAAAATAAAGGCACCCAAACTTCATCATGAATAGACAGTTAACAACATAATGGGAAATCACTTTAATATACCCAGCTTCTCAAAATACATTTCAGTGCACTCATAAAACCTTCATATACATGCGTTTTTCCTTCAACATTCTTTTTTCTTCATTCAAACAAACTGTGACAATGATGGGACCACTTTGATTGAAATTAATATACATGAATCATCACAGAAAAAAAGAAATAACATTCTAGTTATGTTAAAGGAATAGCTCACCCAAAAATGAAAATTGGCTGAAAATGTACTCACCCTCAGGCCATCTAAGATGAAGATGAGTATGCTTCTTAATTGAAACAGATTTAAAGAAATTCAGCATTACGTCACTTGCTCACCAATGGATCCTCTGCAGTGAATGGGGGCCGTCTGAATAAGAGTCCAAACAGCTGATAAAAACACCACAATAATCCACACAACTTCAGTCCATCAATGAACATTTTGTGAAGTGAAGAGAGGATCCCACCTAATAGAGGCCTCTATCCATATATTATTGCTTGCTCCAGTAAAAAAGTTGCCTGGTCTGAATCAGGGGAGAAATATGCACAGATCAAGCACTGTCTACAAGCCAAAACAGTCCAAACCACTTTTTAATCAGCTCTTTGGACTGTTATGATGAAACTCATTTACATCCTGAATGGCCTGAGGATGAGTGGAATTTCATCCAATTTTCATTTTTAGGTCAACTATTCCTTTAAGTTCCCACCAAGCATCTTCTCAACTCTAAACAGTGTCTAAAAAAAGCTAAACAATAAGATAAATATGCTTTTCTTTCATTCATTCAGCTGTAGTCTCACCAGCACATATACACAGGCATTTCATAAAACCCTTCATATCTGACGGTCCAGTAACACAGTATCAGTGGTCCATGTTAATTCATCAACTGCAAACGTATCTGCATGAATTTGCTTTACTCTCAGTTCTAATTGTAGTGTTCACACTATTATGGATTATTATGCATCATTGCACAATTGGTATCACAAAGGTAGTGTAATCTAAACGTGGTACGGAAGCTCATATAGGTATTAATTAATGCTATATTGCCAATACATACATGACAACTCAAAACTTTTAAGTCATCTTTCATTAATGCATATCAGCTATTTCATCCCAGCTCCGACTTACCATCAACATCTCAGTACAACTATATGCAGAATGACAGTATATCTCTTTAAATAACGGGAGCGTAAATAGCTGCATTGTTAGCATCAGAATAGCCCAAAATCTCTCCAGAGGAGCCACTGTGTGGGATAAAGAACAGGCCTGAGAGAATGTCATGGGAGTCAGGCCGTCTACACAAACAGGAGGACGAGAATCGAGATTAGTGTCGAGTTATAGCATTCCAGGGAATTTCAGAACCCTTCTGCATACCTTCATGTTGACTGAGCCTCATTACTGACATTCCTCCAGCCATCATCACCTTGACTATTATCACTATGACACTGCTTACAAAAAGGTAGGATCCTAGACTTTCTCCATGAGACTGTGAAAGCTGATCTAGAGGTCACAAAAACAACATGGAAGCAGCACATACTGCTGCCGTTAGGTGCATAACGCTTTATAGACTGACCCAAAGCTCATACTGCCACTAAATATGACACTGAGCACAAGCTCAGAGATGTGGTCAGCTAGCCATGGATGTAGAATTGATATGAAACAAACAAAAAACACATATACAAGACATGAAATGCTGCCCACTTATGAAACTGCAAAGACAGCTTTGGAGGTATAATAATAACTGCAAAAATTGTTCTTAATGAGTATTTTTGTCTAATTTTCCAGTAAAATAGTCTAAAAATCCTTCAAACAAAACACATTTACATACTCTTTACATATAAAATTTAAAACTACATAAAGAAGACTTGTTTTTAATAATATAAATTTGGGGTCTGTAAGATTTTCTTAAATGTTTTTTTTTTGTTTTTAAAGAAGCCTCTTATGCTCACCAATGCTTCATTTAATTGATCAAATACAGCAACAACTGTAATACTGTGAAATATTATTACAATTTAAAATAACTCTTTTCTATTTTAATATATTTTAAAATGTAATTTATTCTTAGGATGGCAAAGCTGATTTTTGAGCAACCATTACTCGTCTTCAGTGTCACATGAGCCTTCAGAAATCATTCTAATGAATACATTTGTTTCAGGATTCTTTGATTTGAAGTTCATAAGAACAGCATTTATATGAATCCGAAATCTTTTTATTAGTCTTTTTTATAGTTAAAACGAGTGAATCTTCCAGTGCAGTAAGAAATACAAAATTCATTAATATTTATGATATAATTAGAACAAGTCTTGATATCTTATGCAGTAGTGTTGTTTCAAGTAAATTTATCTGGAAGGTCTACTGGAATATTTGACTGGAAAAAAGCCAAGAAATACTAATTAAAAACTCTTTATTGCAGTGTAGTACATACTTTGGTTTCTGTTAATTGATTCATCATGGTTTTTTGAAAACAGGTCCACAAATACTTTAAAATACAATCTTTTAAATTGATTATGGTGCTACGATTAAAAAAAAAAACGATAGTGATTTTTATCATTTGAATAATTATATCTACTAAATAACTAAGTACAATCAGTGGTACTTAAAGGCAAAATATGAAATGTAGAATGAAAGCAGTTTAAATGACTTTTTGTCATCGTGGAAGCCTGGAGAATCAATGATCTTCAAACAGCTGATAAAAACACCACAATAATCCACACAACTTCAGTCCATCAATGAACATTTTGTGAAGTGAAGAGAGGATCCCACCTAATAGAGGCCTCTATCCATATATTATTGCTTGCTCCAGTAAAAAAGTTGCCTGGTCTGAATCAGGGGAGAAATATGCACAGATCAAGCACTGTCTACAAGCCAAAACAGTCCAAACCACTTTTTAATCAGCTCTTTGGACTGTTATGATGAAACTCATTTACATCCTGAATGGCCTGAGGATGAGTGGAATTTCATCCAATTTTCATTTTTAGGTCAACTATTCCTTTAAGTTCCCACCAAGCATCTTCTCAACTCTAAACAGTGTCTAAAAAAAGCTAAACAATAAGATAAATATGCTTTTCTTTCATTCATTCAGCTGTAGTCTCACCAGCACATATACACAGGCATTTCATAAAACCCTTCATATCTGACGGTCCAGTAACACAGTATCAGTGGTCCATGTTAATTCATCAACTGCAAACGTATCTGCATGAATTTGCTTTACTCTCAGTTCTAATTGTAGTGTTCACACTATTATGGATTATTATGCATCATTGCACAATTGGTATCACAAAGGTAGTGTAATCTAAACGTGGTACGGAAGCTCATATAGGTATTAATTAATGCTATATTGCCAATACATACATGACAACTCAAAACTTTTAAGTCATCTTTCATTAATGCATATCAGCTATTTCATCCCAGCTCCGACTTACCATCAACATCTCAGTACAACTATATGCAGAATGACAGTATATCTCTTTAAATAACGGGAGCGTAAATAGCTGCATTGTTAGCATCAGAATAGCCCAAAATCTCTCCAGAGGAGCCACTGTGTGGGATAAAGAACAGGCCTGAGAGAATGTCATGGGAGTCAGGCCGTCTACACAAACAGGAGGACGAGAATCGAGATTAGTGTCGAGTTATAGCATTCCAGGGAATTTCAGAACCCTTCTGCATACCTTCATGTTGACTGAGCCTCATTACTGACATTCCTCCAGCCATCATCACCTTGACTATTATCACTATGACACTGCTTACAAAAAGGTAGGATCCTAGACTTTCTCCATGAGACTGTGAAAGCTGATCTAGAGGTCACAAAAACAACATGGAAGCAGCACATACTGCTGCCGTTAGGTGCATAACGCTTTATAGACTGACCCAAAGCTCATACTGCCACTAAATATGACACTGAGCACAAGCTCAGAGATGTGGTCAGCTAGCCATGGATGTAGAATTGATATGAAACAAACAAAAAACACATATACAAGACATGAAATGCTGCCCACTTATGAAACTGCAAAGACAGCTTTGGAGGTATAATAATAACTGCAAAAATTGTTCTTAATGAGTATTTTTGTCTAATTTTCCAGTAAAATAGTCTAAAAATCCTTCAAACAAAACACATTTACATACTCTTTACATATAAAATTTAAAACTACATAAAGAAGACTTGTTTTTAATAATATAAATTTGGGGTCTGTAAGATTTTCTTAAATGTTTTTTTTTTGTTTTTAAAGAAGCCTCTTATGCTCACCAATGCTTCATTTAATTGATCAAATACAGCAACAACTGTAATACTGTGAAATATTATTACAATTTAAAATAACTCTTTTCTATTTTAATATATTTTAAAATGTAATTTATTCTTAGGATGGCAAAGCTGATTTTTGAGCAACCATTACTCGTCTTCAGTGTCACATGAGCCTTCAGAAATCATTCTAATGAATACATTTGTTTCAGGATTCTTTGATTTGAAGTTCATAAGAACAGCATTTATATGAATCCGAAATCTTTTTATTAGTCTTTTTTATAGTTAAAACGAGTGAATCTTCCAGTGCAGTAAGAAATACAAAATTCATTAATATTTATGATATAATTAGAACAAGTCTTGATATCTTATGCAGTAGTGTTGTTTCAAGTAAATTTATCTGGAAGGTCTACTGGAATATTTGACTGGAAAAAAGCCAAGAAATACTAATTAAAAACTCTTTATTGCAGTGTAGTACATACTTTGGTTTCTGTTAATTGATTCATCATGGTTTTTTGAAAACAGGTCCACAAATACTTTAAAATACAATCTTTTAAATTGATTATGGTGCTACGATTAAAAAAAAAAACGATAGTGATTTTTATCATTTGAATAATTATATCTACTAAATAACTAAGTACAATCAGTGGTACTTAAAGGCAAAATATGAAATGTAGAATGAAAGCAGTTTAAATGACTTTTTGTCATCGTGGAAGCCTGGAGAATCAATGATCTTAAGGGTCTCAAGCCTGTTATTCAAATGACAGCAGGTCAGGGTGGGATTCTTCGTTCTCCAAGCTGAGGGTCTGGTAATCCGCTGTGCCATTCCCCAACAATTCCCCCTCAGTGACGCTGATGCGGCAGCCCCCTTTCCCTGGACATGGGGTGGAAGCCATTCTAGTTTCTGAGCTGGCCAGTTTCTTTGGGTCCAGATTGTCTTTGTGAATGAGATCTGGGACAGAGAGCAGCAGCTGTGACTGATCGACACCCTCAGAATCTTTCTCATCCGTCACCACAGCTGTGGGCTCGTTTTTTAGTTCTAAACCGAGCGTCTTCTCCATCCGGCTGTCGACATGGTCGCCGGATTCTGAAGGTTTCTCAAGGCTGGACTCTTCAGGCCTCGGATCAGGCTGAAGCTCAGCTTTATCTTTGGAGATCTTGTCAGGTGAGGAGACGAAGGAAGATTCTGGGGAGGCTACCACGGGGTCAGAGGATATCATCATGTCCTGGGTGGTCTTCAGGGCCCGTGGGAGACGCTTTTTGCCGGTGGGAGGTGGGGGATCTAGCCGAGGGAAGGAATCCAGGGAGATGTGACTGTGTGAGAGAAAGAAAAAGCAAAGACACAATGTGATCACGCAAGATAGAATGACCACAAAAGATCAGAGCAAATATGTGGCCTGAATTTCTTTATTCTCCCACACGGTGGTCCAAAATTATACTTTTAAAAAGTAAAGATTTCAAAAGACTACCATCAACTGATATTCCAGATATTTCCCTCTGTAATACAAGATCACACTTCATTTGAATAAATCTTATTAAAGGTAAATTTTAAAGCACCGATTGAGCCTAGAGGGAAAGTAAACAGCAGAACGGGCTTTCTGTTGAATTCAGAGGATCATTTTTGGGCAGGATAAAAAAAAAGATTAAAAAAAAAAAAACCCAGCTGGACAACTCATTAGCTTTGCCATATTTCCAATGGAGAAAAGTGGATTGAATTTGATTGAACTTTGGATTGTGAAAGTACAGTACACTTAGAATTATTTTGTTTGAAAATGTTTTATGACCCTTTTAAAGAAAAAGTATTAAAATCTTAGAAAAAGAAAGCAAAAATTGTGACAAACTAAAAATGTAAAATAAATAAATAAATAAATAAATGTATTTATTAATTAATTTGACATTCTATCACACATTTATTAATACATGTGGGAATGCAGCAGCATTTTTTTTAGGAAGGTTTATTTTTTTATTCAGCAATAACGCATTTTAATTGAGCAATTATGTGACAGTAAAGACTTACACGAAATAGCATTTTTTATTTTTTTTTACTGACAATAACAAGAAATATTTCTTGACCAGACTGATTTCTGAAGGATCACGTGACACTGAAAATTTATGTAATGGCTGGAAAATTTACCATCTGCCATTAAAGGAATAAAATATATTAAAAGTTATTTTAAATTGTATTAAAATGTCACAACATTACTCTTTTTACTGTATTTTTATCAAATAAATACAGCCTTGGTGAGAATAAGAGACTTCTTTCAAAAACCCAAAATTTTGAACAGAAGTGTAAAATATATATGTTAATATATTAAAACATGTTGAAAAAGGTCAGTGGACAAGAATAGTAAATGCAATGGTGTCATTGCCATCTCAAGTCACATGAGATGCTCACAGTCCTTTAGTGACACATTCCTGTAGTGAACTTTCCATAAATATCCCATGATGACAACACAATTCCCTCAATAATGCCACATATCTGAGCAATAATAGCCTTACTAGAAATGATAAGAAGTTGGTTTCTTGTAAATGCATCATTTATCATTTTATGACAGTGGAATTTGCACTTGGTCTGCTGAAGATAAGAATGTTGATGAAAGCCATAAAGTCTATATATACATATATACATATATACATATATATATATTGTGAAGACTGGGTAACAAGTTCACTACTTAACGTTTGTCTTTGTAGCACTAACTCCAAGTATTAAGTCTTTCAATAATTGTCTTAGCAAGCTTTATAATTATAAACATACAGTAAAGGCATTATTCCTATAAAATGTATGAGCAGGTATAATAAAAAAGTTAGAAGGAATGCATATACTAGATGTTACACAACTGGTAAGAATCCAGCCAATTAAAGTCAAAGTTTGCCTGATGCAACACAATGACAACACACAAACAGACACATGTACATTCTCTTGAAGGCTGCTGATAATGATGGCAGATGCCGATAATCTGCTGATAAGGCTGCTGATAATGATGGTCTATAAGGGCTGAATGAATTGATCAACAAGTACCATGATGTATCTTGGAATAATTAAGATTTTGTTTTAAAAATAAAGTCTCTAATGCTCAGCAAGTCAGCATTTGTTTGATCAAAAATACAATAAAAACAGTAATATTGTAAAACATTATTACAATTTTCTACATTATTCTACAAAGGATTATAACTGAAAAATAACATTACAATGGAAAAACTGTTTTCTATTGAAATATTAAATGTTAATATTTATGGCAAAAGATGGCAAAGATGAATTTTCAGCAGCAATTAGTCTTCAGCAGCACATAATCCTTCAGAAATCATCTAATACGCTGATTTGGTGCTCACAAAACATTTATTATTATTATCAATGCTGAAAACAGTTGTGCTGCTTAATAGTTTTGTGGAAACAGTGATACTTTTATGGTACTCTTTGATGAATAATTTGAAATAGAAATCTTGTAACATAACGTAACATAAATATCTTTACGGTCACTTTTGATAAATTTATGCATCCTTGCTGAATAAAAGTATTCATTTCA